GGAGATTGGGTACTGGAAGCAGAATCTCTATCTACTCCAGGAAGCTGCACCACGACCATTTGCTGTCCGATGTACGACGACGTTGCCGGATTCGGTACCACCACAGGTAATGAATGCTGCTTGGTCAGTGTTTTCAGCGGATAACTTAGGCAAGCTACCACCAATTCACACTTCCAACGGCCGTAATTTATCATTTCCACAACGTACACCTTCCGAATAATGATTTTCGATTATGTTGAAATTACAAATGTTGCAGTATGGAGCTGAATTTCATGGTTTAATTGAGCGGGAAACTGCGGAAAGTATGCTGTTGGAGGCTGGCGAAGGAGCATTTCTGGTCCGCGCATCCAGACGTTCACCAGGAGCCAACACGCTATGCATGCATTTCGATGGACGTGTCCTCAACTACAAACTCTTCTACGATGGAATGCATTATGTGGGCGAGAAAAGGTCACCAGAGTGAATTTTTGCGCCCAGTAATACGAAACGATACGTTTACACATCGTACAGGACTGAATCGCTGTAGCTTGGGGACCGGGAATGAGGAATTTGTAATAGACTGTGGCTTTTTTCCCCCCCAGAAAATAACTAGTTCATGGTTTTTTGACAACTCATATCTCATGTTTTTTCGGTAAATATCGAACATGCAGAGGTAAGATATCGAACGTTTTTGGGGAAAACATGCAAGAAATTTTATGGTCCAGCACTTTTATAGTTACTTTTATATTGGTTAAAGTAATTTTAAGCCTTTTCCCCCAATTTAACTTGATATTTCGATACAAGTTTGTTCCGAATTCCTGACATAGCTGCGCCCGGTGGACGGAAGCATCATCCAGTAACATCACTAGCACGGCATATCCGCACTAACTGTACTCTCGATTTTGCTATTTTGCCATATTTATAGTTTTTTTAACGTAACTGTAATAGTTTTTACTTTGTGGTATCAGATAAATTTCGGAAAGTATTCCAAGTAACGAGTTTGTGTGTTTCAGATTTGAAGAGCTGGAAGATCTGGTTGCTGATGGTTTAATAACAATGCATATGGAGAAACATGCA